CTTTCTTTTAAACCGTATATCAAATCCATTGCAAAATTAGCATCTGCTAAGGTTGCATCTCTTTATCGAGCTCGACATTTTCTTACTCCAGATTCTATTCTCTATCTCTATAAATCTCAAATCCGTCCCTGTATGGAATACTGTTGCCACATCTGGGGCGGATCTTCTAATGATGCTCTTTCTCTTTTAGACAAGGTGCAAAAACGAATTGTAAACATAGTTGGACCTGCTCTGGCAGCCAATCTCCAACCTTTGTCACATCGTCGTAATGTTGCTTCTCTTTCTCTTTTCTACAAATACTATAATGGGCACTGCTCTAAAGAGCTAGCGTCCCTTGTGCCATCTACTAAAATTCATTCTCGTGTTACTCGCCATTCAATTAAGTCTCATCCTTTTTCTGTGACTGTTCCTAAGTGCTTCAAAAACTCTTACTCTTCTAGTTTTTTTCCTCGAACATCAGTTCTTTGGAATTCGCTTCCTTCATCTTGCTTTCCTGATTCATATAATTTGCAATCTTTTAAGTCATCAGTCAATCGTTATCTTGCTCTACAGATTTAGTCTTTTCTCTTCCAGTAACTTCCAACTCTTATAGTGGTTGCTTGCAGCCTTGTTGGAAGTGAAGATGTTAAAAAAAAAAAAAAAAAAAAAAAAATATCAAACAAGCAAAGAGTCATTTTTTATCACAAACACGTTTTCTTAGCAGTAAAGTATAGGAATGTAAAACAATTTAAATCCTATGAACAATTTCATAGGATTTAAATTGTTTTGAATTGAAAATGAACTTGTCGTTAAAATTTGTTTTTAAAGAAATACTGCACCAAAGGTATTCAATGACAAGCTTTTAGACAATTGAGAACTTTTAAATATACTACCAACTAAAAAATTATGTATGTATGAAGAGGTATCAGTTTATAAATTAAAAAAGTAAGCTTTACATCTAAAATCACACTTAATGCATAATCTAAAAAAATGACTTTTTGTGTTAAAAGCTGTATTAGTTAAACATTTTTAAATTCATTAGTTATGACTTTTTACAGAACTTGATTTATTTGATCATTTAACCTATATAGTTATTGTTAGTTTTAGGCTTAGCTACGCATTAATAAAAGCTTAAACCTTAAAATATAATTTAGATTTATGGCATTAGATGCAGATTAGGGTGATGCAAAATTTTTAAGTTCAAAACTTTAGTTGTCCTCAAGCTTTCCCCTGTTCCATATGATTATAGTAATTGTTGGCTAAAATTTAGTACAGATATGCACAGTAGTATAATATACAGTGTACTACATACTACTACGCACTAGACAATCAAAAATCAATTATGGTTATCAACAGTCATCTTCATCAGCTAAAGAATTTGATGCGTTAAGAAACTCCTTTCGGTAAGGATCAACCAATCGAAGAAAAAACCCCTTTTAGTTTTTATCTTTCATAATGCTTGAGTTAAAGGATGCTATAAAAGCTATGCCTTTTTCTAGGCAATTGTTGATGACCTTCATTTGACAAATCTTGTGCTTCATTTCAAGATATGTTGAACCCATTTGCCACTCTGATTTCAAAATTAGATCAAAAAGGCCTGTGATCTGTTGTGCGATGAAGGAAGACAATAGACTGTGGCTATCAAATGTGGCAATATCAAAAGCAAGTCAATCCTACTAAATGTTCAAAAAATACTAGAGGTGGCTATAAAAAGCTTTTGCTGCAGAAATTGCAATTGTATGAATATTTTTGAATATGTTGAAGAAACTTGGTACCATTGAATGGTGCTCGTTCAGCAAATGAAGCTTCATTTCAAAACTGACCATATATAAATGCCACAAAAAGACCTGTCTGTTATTATTTTTTTTCCCTTGCAGTAATAAAAAATTGATTCTGAAACAAAAATATCTTTTGACAATATATAGCTACTCCAAGAAAGTAAGGGACAAACTCAATAGTTCTAAGTAATCATCCCTGAGTTGTTGACCTTTAATTGCTTCACAATAGTATATCAATATTTCTTTACGGAGTTTGATAAGAAAATCACAGTTGAAAAGATCTTCATTCACTGTATTGATGAACAGCTCCTTGTTGATTAACAGCCATTGCTTCTAAAAGTGGTTAAAAATTCTCACTTCAGATCTTCCACTGGTTTGTTGTGAAAATGGTGAAAAGCATGACTTCAAAAACATGGTGTCTGTATGCTATCTATATAAGATTATGGTTAAGATTCCACTCCATTATTGTACAGGCACGGATGTTCAACCCAGTGTTGGATGAAGTAGTGTTAAAAACCAGTCCCCAAACATGTTCATTCGTTCTCCAATCTTCAAAAGCCACAAGCAATCTTCAGAATGTCCAGCAAGTTTTCCACCATAAAAAAGATGGTGATTCTATCCACTTTTTCTTGACCACCAGTTTTGCAGACCATTAAGTAAGACCTTTCCATTCCAATGTTAATTTCTCGCTTGATGATCCACTTCTTCTGCATAGAAGTGGATCATCAGGAGAGAAATCAACCTTTTTTGACTTTTTTGTCAGCCTTAGTCGCTGCTTCACAAACCATTACCTTGTTCTGTGGATTGTACTGCGCAACAGCATGTGAAAGAAATCTGATATCCATCATTATCTGAAAAACTAGAGCAACTGTTTCAACTGTTCAACTGTTGATGAAGAAGAAAGAAGTTCAGTTTTTTCCATCAATTTTGCTATACTACTTTGACATCTTATTTCCATTTTAGTTTCTCTGACTAGTTACTGTGCTTCCCTAGCTATTACACTCCGATCAATTCCTGCCATACTACAACTTAATGGGTCTTTTTGCTGTTGAATGCGTAATAATGCTTTATCTTCATTAATTTTCATAACTTCTAATGCATTTATAGTTGATATATCGAAAAGTTCTTCTTTTAAGCAGATAATCGTTATGACTTTTTAAAACTTTCTTTCTGCATTATCAATTTTTTTGTTAGTATTCTTTCTCTCTCCGATATAAAAAGCTTCATTTATTGCTCAAATACTTTTTTTCAACATTACATCGATGTGACAAAGTTTGAAGGTTGGCTGCAAGAGCAGGTCCAATTATGTTTACAATGCGTTTTTGCATTTTGTCTAAAAGAGAAAGGGCGTCATTAGAAGATCCACCTTAGATAAGGTGACAGTATTCCATACAAGGCCGGATCTGAGATTTATAGAGATACAGAATAGAATCCAAAGTAAGAAAGTGTCGAGCTCGATTAAGAGATGCAACTTTAGCAGATGCTAATTTTGCAACGGATTTGATATATGGTTTCCAAGAAAGATCAGAAGTAAGAGTTAATCCTAGAAGATGAAGATTAGATGACTCATCGAGTACATTATCATTCATAAATATAGGAAGGTCTAAATTATTGCGATAACAATTGCCTGAAAAAAAGTTTTATCAATTTTTTTGTTAGTATTTTTTCTCTCTCCCATATAAAAAGCTTCATTTATTGCTCAAATACTTTTTCTCAGTTCCTTTTTCTCTTCTAAATGATAGAAAAGCAACCTCCGAAGAACATCTCCTCTTGAAGAAAGTCTGGCAGTTGACAGAATTTGTGTAGGTTTACCAAAAAGCTTAAACTCAGCTGACAATCTAGCGGCTGCCATATTACAAATTTCTAAATTGAACAGAAAGCAACATGTTATCAATAAATTATTATACAAAATATAGTTTATAGAGGGTTAAATTATGCAAGTTGGCTGATTTAGTGAAGCATAATTAAGTATAAAGTAATTGTATATAATATGTATTGTAAATTGTAGATTAACTGAAATTTCTATTTATTAGTAAATTATTATTCTTGCAATATAATTACTTTTTTATCAACATTTCCTTAATTTATCTTATAAAACATGACAACCCTTAAAGTTATTTCTAATAGTCTATTTTTTGGTAAAAATGATCCAAAGTGATAAAGGAACACAGGCAACCTTTAGAAAAATGTTAGAGTATATATATATATATATATATATATATATATACATATATATACATATATATATATATATATATATATATATATATATATATATATATATGACTTAAAGCCGCTAAAGTAATATATATATATATATATATATATTGTATATATATATATATATATAAAATATATATATATATAATATATATATATATATATGACTTAAAGCCGCTAAAGTAATATATATATATAAAATATATATATATATATATATATAAAATATATATATATATAATATATATATATATACATATATATATATATATATATATATATATATATATATATATATATATATATATATATATATATATATATATATATATATATATATATATATATATATATATGTATATATATATATATATATATACATATATATACATATATATATACATATATATATATAAAATATATATATATATAATATATATATATATATATATATATATATATATATATATATATATATATATATATATATATATATATATTACTTTAGCGGCTTAAAGTCAGCATTGCCTAATACATTTTGCACACTTAAGTTTTAAAATGATAAAACCTAAACCCAGACAGTTTTTTAAGAAAAAAAGAATAAAGTAAAGAATATTATAAAAAAAAATTCATTTTACCATACTATAAGTCCTTCATATCTAGATAGTGCCTGCCCAAACCCAAACCCTCAGTTGTTGAATGTACTGTAGCCTCCGCAGATGGCTATTTTAGTATGACCCCATCAATCATGTTTTATGCAAGGCTAAGTATGCAAAGATGTTTGTATGTATATGTATATATGTGTATATCTATACATATATATATATATATATATATATATATATATATATATATATATATATATATATATATATATATATATATATATATATATATATATATATATATATATATATATATATATAATAGAAATGGAAACAAAATATTTAAGTATTTAAACACTGAACAAAAATATGTTACTCTTTTACAAATAAAAACATACAAATTAGAAACTAAATTTACCTTACTCCAAGGGTAGACTTTTTCAAACATAAAAAAAGTGTTCATGAAAGAAGCTATGCTCTATATTAACAAAAAAGAAAAAGAAAAACCTTGATTGTTTAAAAAATAAAATAAATATTCATTTAACAATGAATATATAATTTTTAAATTGAGTACTGAAAATAAAACTCCCAAAAATTTTTACATGTAAAGAATAAACATACATGTTCTAAACTTTCAAATGTGTCTTGAAGAGAATCACCTTTGAGATGTTGTCGAATGTTATCAAGAGTTTCAGTCACAATTCTATGTTCGTCCACAAGCTAAAAAAAATCAAGTAAAAATTAATTTTTATTGATTTTTTATGAATTTGATTAATTGCAAAAAAAAAAAATTAAAAAAAAACAGAATAAAAGGTGATAAATAAAATAAAATAAACTTTCTGGAATTTTATTTTGTTAACTTAAAGTTGATATAAGGATTTGTATACCTGTTTAGTTAAATTTGGAAAGTATTTTCGAATTGAACTAATCTTTTAATAATTAAATTATCTTAATGAATTAAATTAATATACCAAATTTATAATATGACTTACCATGGTTAAAGTATTGTTTTTTTTTAAATAGTAAAAGCTTTTTTTTTTTTTTTTAAACATCTTCGCTTCCAATAAGGCTGCAAGCAACCACTAATTAGTGTTGGAAGTTACTGGAAGAGAAAACATGAAGATTGTAGAGCAAGATACTGATTGACAGAAGACTTAAAAGATTGCAAATTATATGAATCAGCAAAGCAAGATGAAAGAAGCGAATTCCGAAGAACTGATGTTCGAAGAAAAACACTAGACGAATAAGAGATTTTGGAGCACTTAGGAACAGTAACAGAAAAAAGATGAGACTTAATTGAATGACAAGTAACACGAGTATGAATTTTAGTAGATGGCACAAGAGACTCCATTATAGTATTTGTAGAAAAAAGAAAGAGAAGCAACATTACGTCGATGTGACAAAGTTTGAAGATTGGTTGCAAGAGCAGGTCCAATTATGTTTACAATATGTTTTTGCACTTTGTCTTAAAGAGAAAGGGCGTTATTAGAAGATCCACTCCAGATAAGGCGACAGTATTCCATACAAGGCCGGATTTGAGATTTATAGAGATACAGAATAGAATCCAAAGTAAGAAAGTGTCGAGCTCGATAAAGAGATGCAACATTAACAGATGCTAATTTTGCAACGGATTTGATATATGGTTTCCAAGAAAGATCAGAAGTAAGAGTTAATCCTAGAAGATGAAGATTAGATGACTCATCCAATACATTACCATTTATAAATATAGGAAGGTCTAAATTATTGCAATAACAATTGCCTGAAAAAAAGTTTTATCTATTTTTTTGTTAGTACTCTTTCTCTCTCCCATATAAAAAACTTCATTTATTGCTCAAAGTTCACTAGCCACTGTGAGCCCCATGCTGTAGCAGAAGTGAGATCCTTTTCAAGCTCAAAAGCCCCTACCAAGCAATCAGAGGGAGTTGGCTTCTTATTGTGACAAGAATAAATGGTAGTAGCATCAGCGAACAATGCCACCTTAGATGTTAGAATACCTGGAAGATTGTTAATGTAAATTAAAAAGAGTTTTTAGCCAAGGATTGAACCTTGAGGAACCCCTGAAGTTACAGAATAAGAAGAAGAGTGCTTTCCATCAAGGACAACTTTTATACTTTAATTGTATAAAAGTTGTTGATTGGAAAGGAAGGATTCAATAATCTTAAAGATGTTTCCAGATACAACGTCAGAAGAAAGCTTATGGAGAAGACCAGCATGCCAAACTTTATCAAACGCTTTAGAAATGTCAAGAGCAATATAACCACTCTGACTACAAAGACAATGACAACTACGACTACCTGATGACCCTACTACTACTACTACTACTACTACTACTACTACTACTACTACTACTACTACTACTACTACTACTACTACTACTACTACTACTACTACTACTACTAATATTACTACTACTACTACTACTACTACTACTACTACTACTACTACTACTACTACTACTACTACTACTACTACTACTACTACTACTACTACTACTAATACTACCTGATGTAGAACTTGATGTTTTATACTTTTAGTGTTATACAGCTATTAAGAAAACAAAGCATTATAAAATAAATTAAAAAATAAAAATAGGTATTTTAAAAAAAGAATATAAATTAAAATAGGTTTCAAACCTTTTCTTTGTACTTTGAAAAATTTTTTTCCATAGCTTGCTGCTTTTTGATAATATCATTACTGATATCATTGACATTGGCTGTTTCATTAAGTTGATGTTTCAAACTGTTGATCATAGAACTACATGATTCTAACCGAGTTTGCAGATTGGTCTATAATAATGGAGAAATAAAGACTCTAGTTATTTTATTATGTAGCGATCATTTTATTTCACTTTATTAATTTATTGAAAACTATGTAGATTTAAAATAATTTCATTTTATATATTTAAAAACCTTATAACTTAACTAGTTTGTTGGCAGTTATGAAAAGCAGTTACATTCAGTAATATAGTTTATTTCATTATAATGTAAAATATTTTAAAAAAATTTTACTTTCAAAGATTTTGTATTTTTTTTTAACATTTGAACAGAAGTAACCTATACATTTAGTGTTGCCTCCCACAATTGAACTAAGAGGTTTTATATCAAAGTTTTCTTTTTCTAGGTATGTTGCCTTTAACATGGCTAAAAAACTTCACCTGCCGTAATATAAAATCAGCTTAAGGTCATGATAAGGACTATTTGTTTATGTATGTTGCTTTTATGCTCTTGTATGTTGCTTTTATGTTCATGTATGTTGCTTTTCAAATTATATTATATAACTTAAAACAAGTTAATAAAACAATAAAATAAGAAAGTTTTAATATTAAATATTTACCTCAACTATTCTTGTATTGGTTAAGTGATTTTTCATGATAATAATTTCATTGTTTTGCTCTTGAATAATAACATCTCGTTTATTTAACTCCTCATACAAAGAAGCAACCAAATTAGTATTGTATAAACTAGCATTTGTTAAAGATTTCAAATCATCAGTTAATGAACTACTTGATGTTTCTATATTATACAGTTTTGATTTTATGAAACGAAGCTCATTTTCTAATAACTTGTTCTGTTGTTCTAAAGATGTCTATAAAAACAAATAGCATATGATTTAAAATTGTAAAAACAAATTCTACACTACCAAACCACCACCTACTAATATCAAATAAAAAAATAATATTAATATTATTGGATAAGCAAATTATTCTGACTAAAATACCATATTGCATATTTTTAAATGAAATATATCTTTTAAAGTTATATATAACTTAAAGATAGCATAAAGTATTTTAAATAAAACTAATTTTATTTTAAAAAACACCTTTTATTACCATACTACATGTTTTTAGATAAAATATATCTTTTAAAGGTATTTAGAACTTAAAGATAGCATAAAATATTTAAAATAAAACTAATTTTATTTTAAAACATATCTATTATTAAAATACTTATGTACTATGCAAAGAATTTAAATGATTTTAAACACATATATTATTATATAGATATAGAGTAATTAATTGTAAGATTTTGTGTTTAATTATTCCATAAAAGTGTTTTAGACTTGGAAGGAAAAAGTTTTGATACTTAGAGTACTTAAGTAGAATATCAATGAAGCAGTAAACAAAATATCAATAAAGCAGTAAACAAAACATCAATGAAGCAGTGAATAAAACATCAATGAAACAGGGAACAAAATATCAATCAAGCAGTGAACAAATATCCAAGAAGCAGTAAACAAAATATTATCCTATTTCAGCATGTGATCTCTATGGATATAATGAAAATAGAAATTTGAAAATAAACTTACACCATGGTTAAAAAATTACACCATTGTTAAAAACTTACACCATTGTTATTACCATTTAACTCATTGTTTTAATAAATTTTGTTCAACCAATGATACATTAGCAAAAATATTTAGTTTTATGTAACTTGAAGTAACTCTATTTATAATTTTAAATTTAAAGCAACCTGCTAGAAAGGCCTGAAGATTTTTTATTTATATCTATTTTATATCTATACTTTCACACACATTTTTTTTAACTTCCCACTCATCTTTAATCTATTTACAAACTTTATTTCAAGTGTTTTTTATTAAAATAGATTTCTTTGTTTTTGAAATTTTACTAAATTTTATTTATCTTTAATAAAACAGGTTTAAAAAGTAATATCTCAAAAGTAATAGTAATAAATCAAAATCTTTGGACTGTTTAAATTCTTTAAAAATAAAAAACTCTTTTTTTTTTTTTTTGATGTTACAAAAAATATTTACAAAAGTATTAATTATTATATTACAAAATCTATTAAAAAGTATTTTCAAAAAAGACAAAAACCAAAAAAAAAAAAAAAAAAATGCTGTTATTGAAAATTATTTTCTACCTTTTCTCTGTAGAGCTTTAAATTTTCTTCCTTAAGTTCATTTAATTCAATCTAATGATTAAATAATTAAATTTATTTAACTAAAAAGTTATTAAATATAAAAAGAAACATAAAAGAAATTAAATTTAAAAAAAAGTACTTTTAATGCTCTGTCTTCATTGTTATTATTGGATAAAATGCTTTTTGATATCTAAAACACAGTGTCATTCAGATTATTAAATTATAAAACAATTTTCCTGTGTGTACTTTATGTGTACTTAGAAGTAAATTTAGAAATATTCTTAGAAGTATATTTAGAGGTTATGTAAAAAAATGTTAGTACCGATTGTTCTTCTAAAACTTCAAGTCTTTCTTCAGAGCTGTCAAGAATTAACTATAAATAAACAAAATTAACAAAATTAATAACATATATTTCTTTTTAAACATTAAAGTAGATATAAAAATGTTTATACATCAATTTAAAAATATCCAAAAAAAAATAATTTATATATATATATACATATATATATATATATATATATATATATATATATATATATATATATATATATATATATATATATATATATATATATATATATATATATATATATATATATATATATATATATACATATATATATATATACATATACATATATATATATATATATATATATATATATAAATTATTATTATTATATATATAAAATATATATATATATATATATATATATACATAATATATATATATATATATATATATATATATATATTATATATATAATAATAATAATTTATATATAATATATAATCTATTAGAATTTATTAGATGAGAAAAAGTATACCAAATTCTGTAGTTCATTCAAATATTTTTTAATATGAGAAACTTCTGTTAATACATGGTCAATATTTAAATCTTTTTTTTCTAAAATGTTGTGTATTAAGGTAGAACTTCTTTCATTTAAGTCATAAGAAACAATAGATGGATGTGACTGAATAGAAGAATGCTTTTCAGGTGGTTCTGGTATTTCTTCATTTTTTAATCGAAATCCATTACTGGTATAACCTAATTCTTTTTCATTACTGATAAATTTTTCGGATGAAGTTGCCTTGCTATATGAGCAATGAGGTTTATATCTTGAGTTAGGAAACAACAAAGATTTGCTACCATCTTTGTTTCTTAAAAAAAAAAAAAAAATTTATTGAAATCCAGATGGTTATTAATCTACAGAATTATTAGTATATAGAATTATTATATCTTTTTTATTTTATTTAAATTCCAAACATAAAGTTTGTACAATGATATAAAATTTTATAGATAACTTCAAACTATTTTTAAACAAGTAATAATCATAACTTATTAAATTACAACTTTTAACTACTGGGTATGTGCAAAGCAAAAAAAGTATTAATATAAGAGAGTTTTATTGGAGATTAAAATAATCATCAGGTTATATATGACAAAAATAAAACAATTCAAAAATAAAATAAAAAATATGAAAAGTGAACTTCACTCACAAACAACTTCCCATAATGTATAGGTATAAAAGAATCAAATAACTACACATCTTATTTCTAGTTGTTTTTTCATTGTTTCTGTCTCTCCTTCACACAAAAGAAACTGTACTGTTTCAAATTAAACAACAAAAAAATCTTCTTGCAAACTTATATAAATCTACCAACTTAAAGTTGTAAATTTATTTGTTAGAAATTTTATAAATGATTTTTTTTTCATTATAAAAACAAACAAAACACTTTTTTTTATGTTTAATTGATGAGACTCTGACTGTGAAATAATGATTTTCGTTTATTCTGTATTAAAAATGAAAATAGTAAACTTTATAAAGTCTTTAATGCTATAGGTATTTCTACAATAAAAATTAAAAAATATAACTAAAAAAAATAACTAGTGAAGTAATATAATAAAACCTTTAATACCACATGTGGGAAGATATTTACTTCAATTATATAACTAAAAATTTATATGTGAGTCATTGTATTTATGTGAGTCAAACAAAAAAATTGTTAAGCATAATTATTAATCATAACAATAATAATAGTCATAAAATAGTAGTAGTAGTAGTAGTAGTAGTAGTAGTAGTAGTAGTAGTAGTAGTAGTAGTAGTAGTAGTAGTAGTAGTAGTAGTAGTAGTAGTAGTAGTAGTAAATAGTAACAGAAATAAAATTAATTTGAATTTCATAAAAATTTTGAAAAATTGTATTAAATCAAACTGAAAAATACCTTTCTTCATTAAGGAAAGGCATTTTTATCAAAGATATGTTATTGGTTGCCTTGTTAGTTAAAGCAGCAGCATTGGAAACAGTAGAAACAGGTGAACTTGAACAATGAGAAGCTTTATTTTTAAGAATTGAGTTACGAAAACAATTACAACTAAACAATTCTGGCTTGAAATACACTGCTAAAGCAAGAATCAGACACATGATTGATTTCTCATTACCTTCGATAATTTCTAAAGTAAATCAACAAAAATTAACAAAGAAACTATTACAAAATAGTACTTTGTTGATTTAATATCATTACAGAAAAGTTAAGGAAACAATTAGAAAAAATGTGAAGATAATATTTGTGCAATAAAAAATTGCGTGTCTATATAATCATGCTAATGAAAGGTAGACTCTTAAAGTAATCAATATACATTAGTGTTATTAATTTTTAAATTTATATTATTGGCTTTTAATATTCTAACTTGCTAATTTTATTTTTTATAATTATTTATTCTATTATTAAAAATCTATTAATTATACAAAGAAAAAAAATCTATTAACTATACAAAGAAAAAAAAAGTTTTTTCCTTCTTGTCAGCTATTGTAAAAGGAGTCACAACACAAGTTTAATTAAATTTTATAATTTTCTCACAAAACTTTTGATAGCAATAAAAATGAATATAGTAATTATATATAGCATGGTGTATAAGAAAAGTAAACATATCTAAGATTCATTCATAAATTTTTATGAATATTGTAATCATAAATAAAAAAATTGTAAATATATTTTTTATTTCATGGAAAATTCTTTATAAGAACTATAAACAATTTTT